AACCCTTACAAACCACTGGTTATATTAATAGATGACATGGATTGGCCTGTTTTAAAATTTTGCTATGGTATTATTCAACAAAGTGGGCCTCAATGAAACACAAAACTTAAATAAATAATACAACTCTTAGGAAGAATTTCCAGGGAGGTATTTTAAGTTTAAATTCTATGAACTGGGCCTCCAGGGTGGTGCAGTGGTTGAGCGCTGGGTTGCGAAGCTGCCCGCAGCCTCTGCAGTGCCGGTTCGATCCCTGGCCACCAGGCCAGGGTCCCACATGTTGCGCAGACCTCTCCTGCCACCCGCTGCTCCTCTCAGCAGTGTATTTCATCAGTCTGCCTGTTCTGTTCCCCACTCTAGCTCTGGTGAATTCTCTCACCCTCCCGCGCCTCTGACTGTACCCAGTGTATAAATAAAATAAATAAATCTTTAAAAAAATTAAAAAAATAAATTCTATGAACTAATATATATTACCAATAAAATGACTGTCCTTTGGGGGAAATTTTACTATAGTTCAATAACAAACTTCCCAGTTTTTCAGATGAATAAAGATCTATTCTGGTTAAAAGGAGTATAGTAAATGTAAAATATTCATGTAAAATATTCAAACAATTCAGAAGAATATATAGCAAAAGAAACCCACCCCAAACCCTAGTTCTTATATGTGAGTATTGTAAACTATTTTAAAGATTTTAGAAAATGTTTTTCCAGATATTCCATGTATTCGTGTATAAATTATATACACAATCTAAAAATTATTTGAATTAATTATTTATAATTAAGTTACTTTGTAACCTGCTTTTCCTCACTTAGCAGTACAGCTTTTCCATTTCAATGAATGATATACATAGATAAATATCATATTCTTTAATGCCTAGATAATATTCTTATCCTATGTCACAATATATTCAATCATCACTTCGGAGCCTTCCAATTTTTTGAGATTATGTTACAATGTAATACCTATGTTTAGTGTATTTGTGTATTAGTCTATTTCTTTTGGATACTTTCCTTGCAATGGCCTTTACTGGATCAAAAACTATTTGCCTTTCAAGTTTTTAATTTTTAAAAATCTGTATTTCCAGGGCCTCCCCGGTGGCGCAAAGGTTGAGCGCTGGGTTGCGAAGCTGCCCGCAACCTCTGCTGCGCTGGTTTGATCCCCGGCTGTTCCCCGATCACCAGAGGAGGGTCCCACATGGCACACAGACCTCTCCTGCCGCCCGCTGCTCCCCTCAGCAGTGTACTTTGGTCCTTCTGCCTGCTCTGCTCCCAGCTCTGGCTCTGGTGAATTCTCTCACCCTCCCCCATTTCTGACTGTACCTAGTGCTTGTATGTATAAACAAATAAATAAATAAATCTTTAAAAAAAAAACAAAATCTGTACTTCCAAATTGCCTTTAGAAAGTTCTATGTCAATTCACTCTAATTGTAAGAGACTCCTAACTGTATAAATTGTATAATTCATAACTGTGTAAGAATGCCTATTTTCCCCACAATCTTACACTGTATTTTGCCCACTTTCTCCAACTTTGGCAACATAATTAAGGTATACTAATTCTATTCCTGAGTAAGAAATTACAACAAATTAGCAGCTTAAAATACATTTATCTCATATTTTCTGTGAATCAGAGGACAGTTTGGACCCTCTAATCTCTCATGAAGTTGAAATATGGCTGAGTTCTCATCAGAAAGCTCAACTGCGAAAGGATTTACTTCCAAGCTCACTTACACGCCATTAAAACCTCCTAGTTAAAGGGGTCAAATCACATATTATGGATCATATATTATGGGCAGTTACAGTGCCAGAATTCTAACTTCAAGATCCAAATAAGGATATTAACAGAAATTTAGTCACAAGCAAGTTCATGACAGAATTTCATTTAATGGCAAAACAAACAAAAATCTATTAATGATTCAAATTATCCAATAATAAAATGTGAAATTACAATGGTGTCAGGAAATAAGTGAATATTTATTGTGCAAAACTACACAAAACTGTTTTATTGTTAATTAAAATGAGGATACAATATTGAGACACCGCCCCATTTTTAAAATCATAGATTGGCAAAAACTCTGTTAGAAATCCCATAGGGAGACTGTGAGATCCTACCCTTATAAGGGACTGAGTCATGTAGGTTACTTTTTAAAATTTTTCTTTTGAACTGCTTTATATTTTGACATCAACTACTATATTTAAAGTATATAATTTGAGAAGTTTTAACATACAAATATACATACCCTTAAAGTCCACAGAACAATGAAGATGAACATATTCATCACTCCTGACATTTCCTAGTGCCCTTTGTAATCCCTCCATCCCACTTCTCCTTGCTCCCCCTATTCTCTACTCCAAGTAATCAATGATTTGCTTTGTCACTATAGTTTGCATTTTTTAGCTTTAGCTAAGTGGAATCAAACAGTATAGTTTTTGTTTTGTTTTGTTTTGTTTTGTTTTGTTGTCCTGGCTTTCTTTCACTTTGCATAATTATTGTGAGATTCATTGACATCATTGTATGTTTTTATAGTTCGTTCCTTTTTATTTCTGAGTGGCTTTCCATTAATGGGTCACTTTGGCTCTAGTAAAAGCTGTTTTTATGCCCAACCCAAGGTGCTTCAAGTAAGAAGTTTCAGAAGCCACTTTTCACACTTACGTTAACTTTGCCAGTTCCAAGGAACTAGGATTCTGAATCTATTTAGGCCAAACCTGATACTAACTCCTTTTAGACACAGGGTCCTTTGAGTGTTTCAAACCATTGCTTTGTTTAAATTCTTCCTAAATTTCATTCTGGGGCAATTTAATAAGCCTATTTTTTTTTAAATAATAAATTTTATTTTTATATTCTCCATACAATTGCAACCCCCTTATTTTGACCCCAATCCCTCCACTTCCGCCCCCTACCCCCCATAGAGTGTCTCTGGTTCATAGTTTTTTGTTGATTTTGATTTTCACTTTCTTATAGTTATTCATTTTCCTGGTCCCTTATTTAAGTTTTCTAGATTCCTGCTATGAGTGAGACCATCTTAATAAGCCTAATTTTTTTTTTAAGATTTATTTATTCATGCACACAAGAGCTGGGGTGCAGGCCAGAGATGTGGGGAGTGAGAGGATTCACTAGAGACAGAGCAGGGAATAGAACAGGCAGACTGACTGAAATACACTGCTGAGGGGAGCAGCGGGAGAGACAGGAGAGGTCTGCTTTGCCATGTGGGTTGCTCCCTGGCCGGCCAGGGATCGAACTCGTGCTGTAGAGGGTGTAGATTGCTTCATAGTGCAGTGCTTACCCTCTTGCACCCCCAGAAAGGCCCCTAATAAGCCTAAATTTGTGAGATTTACAGGCATGTGGTCCTAGTGAGCCTTATCAGATGGACTTTATCAGTTGATGTGAACATTTACATCCATGTTAAGTCCAAAAAAGTAAATAGTGTATAACCCAACTTTTGTTTTTAAAATCTGCTTGAAAAGATGGCTAGAAAAGTTATATGTGGAAAATGATTATATTGTATTACCAAAGAGAGTAAACATATATATTTTTTAAATTTCAAGTACAGTGACGGAGGAAAAAGGAGAAAGGTGATATTTTGTACAATCAATACTTGCTAGGCAGCCAGGCTAACCCCACTACTATTTTAAATAATAGCTTAATTCATAACTTCATCCCTGTTAACTAGAATGGGCAGTGCAACTTCTGAGGAAAGTCATGATCCTTCAGGTTTCTGGAACCAAAATGTAGAGGTAGGGTTATGTATCTAATTTCATAAATACAAATTGAATCTGGAATCTCTCAAAGTTAAAGCAGATTCTGATGACATGTTTTGGCCTTGCATTTCACACTGTCTTTAAATCTAAGTATGTATACATCTTAGAAGTAGTAGTTTATTTTCATTATTTACAAAACTCCTTCCTACCCATTAATCACAATAGGTATTTACAACATTGTTGCAAAGTAGGTCATAATACTCCCTAATCCATTTTTGGCATTCGGTAGTTACTAGTATTATCTCCTTTCTATTTAAGAAAGCTTGTACTTAGTTCAATTAACACACTAGCTTACATGCTAATTATTATATAATGCTAAAGTAGTTTCCTTATAGCCAAATGTAATTTAAAAATTCTAAAACAGCGCCCAAACATCTTTGTAATTAAAATCTGCAAAGGCAATTCATTTCATTCCTAACCCTACCTCCTCCACAGCATATAAATTGTCAACACAGCATATAAAACCAGAATTTAAAAAAAAATTCCTTATGTGGTGGTGCAGAAAAGTTTAAAATAGAACGCAACGAGGAAGCTACCTCTACATGTAAACACAAGCTAATGTGCTTCCTTTACTTCTTATTAAAAGTCACAAATTAGTAGAGAAATACTGCCGCCCCCGGGCTTTCCAACATTTGAATTCTGGGGCGTAGCAACAGCAAGAGCAAGAATGAATGAACTAAAAAGGACGCGAAATCTGGCCAAAGGTTGGCAGCAATGCGTGTTAGTTGACCCTGAAGAGAATAAACACCCAATTTGTGAATTAAACCTAGGTGGTGGAAGAAGAGTGCCCAGCTTCCGAGAAGCTGAGCTCACCCTAGCGGCATCTAGCTGACAGGTGAAAGGAGGAAAAACCGTTTCCACTCCAACACCACCCCCAGAAAAAGAAAGAAGAAAACCTACACCAACTACAGGGAGGACTCTGACCTAGACCCCGTGACCCGGTTTGCTCTCCCCTCTCCCTCCCGCCGGGCGGCCTCCAGGGGCCCTCCCCTGGAATCGTTCAAATCGCCACGTCTGCCCGCTCGGGGCCGTCAGCCGCCCCCCGGAAGCCCGGCAGTTCCGCGCTCCCAGCCCGCGGTCCTGAGTCACCGGTCCCCAGGCTCCGCCCACTGCAATCTCCCGCCCGGCGCCCAGAGGGCCACGGCTCCGCCCACGGCCGCCCACGTGACTCTCACGGCCCGCCCACCTGCGCCCACGTGACCCACGACCCTCCCCCGCCGACCGCGCGCGCAGAATGGTTCGCGGCCGGAGCCGCCATTGTTCCGCCGAGGGAGGACAGCGGGCCTGTCACTGGTGCGGAGACGCCGCTTAGCGGCCGCCACTGGAGACACTCCCTCCCGCCGTCCCCCTCCTCTTGGTGGCCGCCGAGTGAGGCTGACTAGGGGGAACTGGGGAGCCCCCCTCTCCTCCTGGCGGCGGCAGCGGCCGATCCCCGGCTGCGGCGCGAGGGGCGACCGCGATGCGCTCGGCCTGAGGCGTCCCGGCCCGCTTCTCCCTCGCTTCCCGTCTCCCTTCCACGGTGTCTCTGAACCCCAGCGTCATCTTGCGAGTCCCTGTGAGGGGAAGATGGCTGCACGGAGCTGGCTGGACGAGCTGGCCCAGCAGGCCGAGGAGGGCTCGGCCCGCTTGCGGGAAATGCTCTCGGTCGGCCTAGGCTTCCTGCGCACTGAGCTGGGCCTCGACCTGGGGCTGGAGCCGAAGCGGTACCCGGGCTGGGTCATCTTGGTGGGCACGGGCGCTCTTGGGCTGCTGCTGCTCGTCCTGCTGGCTTACGGCTGGGCCGCGGCGTGCGCCGGCGCCCGCAAGAAGCGGAGGAGCCCGCCTCGCAAGCGGGAGGAGGCAGTGGCCGCGCCCGCCCCGGCCCCTGACGACCTGGCTCTCCTGAAGAATCTCAGGAGCGAGGAGCAGAAGAAGAAGAATCGGAAGAAACTGCCCGAGAAGCCCAAAGTGAGTAGGGGAGGAGCGGCGGTAGGGTAGGGGCAGGGGGCCGGCCCGGAGACCCTCGAGCGAGCGGGAGGCCGAGCCCCAGGCGCCCCAGCCAGCAATGGAAAAGGAAAAAAAGTGAGGTTCGTCGGGGAGCCGGGATGCGCATCTCCCCAGGTGGAAGAGGTGGTCAGTGGACACCTTACTTGGGTATTGATGGTGGCTCAAAAGGAGGTATAGGGCCGGTGGGGAAGACCGGTTTCGAAGTTAAGTCAGGGTATGGTGTTTCATTAAAAGCACAAGAGGTCAGGCCGTTTCAGAACCTTGACAGTCTGGAGAACATAACCTTCCTTGAGGCCTATGGGCAGGCTAGGCTGCCTGTGTGGAGAGTCGCAGGATCTTAAGTTAAGGTGGTGTTGGGAAGTTGTGCGCCTGAAAGACCTGTCTAGTTCAAGTCAGTGTTGAGACGGTAGCCAGTGGAGGAGAGAAGGCGACCTAAAAAAAGTCTGGGACTTAGAAGATTGAAGGTACCCAGGTCTAGACGCTTCCATTTTAGTTGGGACTGCTAAAGGGAAATGGTTGCTCTTATTCTTGTGAATGTGACCAGTGGAGGCCACACAAGGAACTACCAAGTCCATTGCCTGATGGACTTGGGGGTACATGGCTCTGTGAAGAGAACTAAGGCAAGTTCAGCCAGATGTTATGGGAGGTTTGAAATAGGCTAAAGGGATGACAGAGCAGAATGGTGCAGAGAGGGATTGGGGCAACGATTTTACTAGACCACGTGTGGCAATGCAGAGCTTCACATTCGTTTTATCGTAGCTTCATGTTTCATGTCTGCGTTCTTTATTGCCTTTTCCCCGTTGCTGACCCATTATATATTTCATAGTTTGTTTGTTTTTTTTTTTTTTAAGCAACTGAGCAGACAGTAGGGAGGGTGGGCAGGATAGAAACAGTTCTTACTCTGTTAACTCCACTGGTGAAGACCTTTACAATATAGTAAAATAAATGCACCCAAAGTCCTGCTATGCGATGTGCGCTCTCATGTTTGGCGAGCAGTGGAGGTCTACTCATAGGACTTTAGAGTCATTCATGAAAACTAGCGTAGGAGACAGATTCATAAATCTAATATTACAGAGACTGGTAGGTGCTATGGAAGTGTGAGCAGTGTTAGTGAAGTTTGGAGGGTAGGAGACTATTTTTATTGGAGGGATTTAGCAAAGTTATTGGAGAAAGAGGGACTTGAGTTCAAACTAGAGTAATGAGGTTTTGTTGGTAGCAGCACAATGAGAAGGCTGTATTAGAGACATGACATGGCCCAGTTAGGCCTAGGTGAGCATTCACAGGCTTGCTGACTAAGAATGCAAGATAGGTGCACAGAAGCTAGACGAGGGTACAACTTTGTCTTAAGAATACTACCTTAAGAGAAGAGAACTGCTTTGGAACATACATAATTACATTTACATTTGTAAAGAGCCTCTAATATTACCAGAAAGTAATGTTATGGTGGAAATAGAGAACCTGGCTCTAAGATAAGGAAAGAATTTGATCTTGAAAATACCACACACATTAATAAGCCTAAGCCCTGAGTGGAGGAACCTGAGTGGTTGTGAAAATTTCATTTCCCAGTCTGGGCTTCTAGAATTTCAGATTGACTTGAGTCAAGAGACAGGTGCTCTAAGAGCCCATCCTAACTACATCGTTACACTCAGATGACTCATCTGAAAAAGGAACACAAACTCCTGTGAAACTTGTACTGTGAAAAATGCTCTTCAGACTTAGGACATCCTCCCGCTCATTCTTGCCATGAGTTGAGGAATGGGGGGATGAATCTGTGAAGCCAGTATTAGCTGTGGGAGTGGAGAGTTAGAGACTAATGCAAGGGTTGAATGTTGATTGAATGGAAAAAATACCTTCCCCTACCTAATGATAAAGATTTTTGGAGAACTTTATCAACATTTACAAGATTGTGACTTTCAAATTTTTTTGGCTACCACCCATGGTAAGAAATATTCAATACATTCTCCATTACAATACCCTGACCCACATCCACATCAAATAATTCCGTTGGCTTTTCTTTATGATGTTTGTGACCCACTAAATTGTTTTCTTTTTTGATTGTGAGACATGACCCATAGAAAAACCTGCTTTGTAGGCTTAAGTATTAAACTGCCATTTATTTAGCATTCATATGCTTTGCACTGTGTTGAGTGTTTACTTGGAGAAAAGCCGGGTACAAATTGAAGGCAGTATAAAGGAATATGATATTTGTATGTCTTACTGGAAGGGGATATAAAATTAAAAGCTCAGTTTCTCCCCAAGGAGCTTTTTATACCAGTTGTGGAAAAAGATATAATCAAATTAACAATACATCCCCAGTTTGGGCCCACATGGGCATAAAAGACCTTATCACAGAGTTTGGCTTTGAAAGTGGATAGAAGAGAGGCTGAAGCAACAACAAAAACCCAAGGGAGGAAAACTTAACTCTGTTGGCCTGATAGGAATGGGGAACTCTAAACTTGAGTAAGGCATTTAACATCTCTCTATTAAGCTTATCTTGTTTTATACAGCGAAGGTCATTGTTGAGTTATAACACTGCAAGATTCCTCAAAGTATAATCCCTGATTGCTTGAAATTGAGGTAGTTTCTTGTTAAAATTTGTAGATTCCTGAGCTCCACCACAGTGCTAAGAAATTCAGAATTTCTCTGGAGCTGGGCAGCATTTTTGACAGGCCCTCTTGCTTATCTATTAGTTTGAAAATCAGTCACTTGAATAGGGTCACCAGATGTATAATAAAAGATTTCTGTGTGGAGTCATGTTAAATCTTAAGCCTTTTCATTACTACAACATTCCTTTTTTTTTTTTTTTTTTTTGTGGGACCCTGGTGGCTGGGGATTGAACTGGCGCTGCAGAGGCTGTGGGCAGCCTCGCAACCCAGCTCTCAACCAACCCAGCTCTCAACCGCTGCACCACCAGGGCGGGGGGGGGCCCTACTACAACATTCTTATATATGAAAAAACACCCTAATGTTTTAGGATATACTCGCTCTGATTCAGGTGGATTCAGTGATGTAAACTACTGCAGTTTCTTTGAAAAGTTATTCTACATTTGCTTAAATAACAATTTTCATCATTTTATCACAGTATTTTTAATTTTATCTTAAATCATTTCCAATTTCACAACCCCATTCAAAATTTGTTTCTAGCTACTTTTTTTTTTGTAGAATATGTGGTGTTGGGTGTTTTTTGTTTTTTTTTTTAATTGCTTATGCCAGTTTATTTTATATCCCCATGCATGTTGCCATCCATCATTTAGGGCATATTTTTTATATTTTTGGAAATCACTCTTATTTGTATTTTCCTTGACATCTAGTTCAGTGTAAGTATTAGATAGACTTTCAGTAACTATTTTTACTTGACTTAATCTGAACAATGATTTATATGGACGTGAGATCTCAGGTAAATTGTTTTTAAAATTATTGCTTTAAATTTCAACTAGAAGCCCATAACCAGGGTCATCTTAAAAGAAAATTCATTTTAGTGAATAAGTTATTTGTATTTTAGTAAGAATTTTCATGAAGATTTGCCATATTGCAATTGTCAATAGAGAGCACAGCGAACAAGAAAGTAGTGTTTTGGCTTGTGTACACCTGTATAACATTACCTAGTAGTTGGCACTCAATAAATAATCATTGAATGCATAATATATGAAGCTGTCCCACGAAGGTATTTATGCAACTTATCCCTATTCTTCATGCCTGGAAAAGGCCATACAAGCCATATTTTTATTTTTTATAGTGAAAATTACGTATGTTTACCTTTTCTGACTAGAATTATATGAAGTCCATCTTTCTGTGGCCAATACATCACTCTAATAATATGTGGTATCTTGTAGTCATTATTTCTGTCTAGTAACCACTGCCCTACTTTTAGACTTTATTACCTTTTACTTGGTGGATTCTGACAGCATCCTAACTGGTTTTCCTGCTTCCAGTCTCTTTGTTGTCAACCCTTTCTACCCACTCATGCCAGTTAAATCTTTTAAAACCCTACTGTGATCATATGACTTTCATGTTCACATTTTTTCAGTAGTTTTGACATCACCTGTTAAATAAAAATCCAATCTGACATTGCATTCAAGGCCTCCTCCTGATCTAACCCCATCTCAGATTTATTTCTCATCATTACTTATAAGACATTAATATTAGTCCTCTGTGGTTCTTTATTCATATTTTCTTATATAAAAGGCAACTCTCTGTCTACCAATTTCTACCTGTTCTTCAAGGCCCAGCTACAGTGCTGCTTCTACTATTAGCCATTCTTAGCACCCCAGCTAGAGGTAATCTTTTTGTATGTTTTTTTTTTTTTTAAAGATTTATTTATTCATATAAGCACTGGATACAGTCAGAAGCACGGGAGGGTGAGAGAATTCACCAGAGCCAGAGCAGGGAACAGAGCAGGGAGAAGGCCCGAAGTACACTGCTGAGGGGAGCAGCGGGGGGCAGGAGAGGTCTGCGCGCCATGTGGGACCCTCCTCTGGTGGCCGGGGAGCAGCCGGGGATCGAACCGGCGCCACAGAGGCTGCGGGCAGCTTCACAACCCAGCGCTCAACCACTGCGCCACCAGGGGAGGCCCTGTATGTTTTATTTTTCATGAGAGCTAAAACAAGAAGGTAGAGTGTGCCTGTAGGGTAACTCAAGAATTTTTTACAGTTCTGTATGATCAGTATTGATTTGAGGGTTACAAATAAATTTTAGTGAGTGAGGTAAATTCCTGAATGGAATAATGTGAATAATCCCTGAATAATGTGGATCAACTATATATTATTCTCTATCGGTAGCTGGACCTTTCCTCTCAACTTCAGCACCACGGGACTTGTGGGCTTGTGTATACTTGATTTCTCCAAGTAGAAATGTGGACTTCAAACTTCATCTCCAAAACAGAACTCAATTCCCTGCCCTCTCCTGCTCTTTCCTATTTCTATAAATGTCTTAGTCCATCCGGTTAAGTATCTAAGAATCATT